GCAGTGACCAGTGACCCGTGGTTTGCATTTTGGGTAGGGAACACAGCACAGAGCAAAGAGCCTGTGGTGAGCACCTGGAAAGGATGGATTTGCCCACCTTCTTTTCGTTTTTTTCCCCTGGCTCCCTGTGCCAGTTTGTAATCTTTGAGCAAGTAAAGGCGTCCGGTTGAAGTCCCTTTGAACTCCAGTCTTCTAGAAACCTGCTGTAGGTTTAATGATGGGGCAGCGCTGGCAGTGGACCTGCTGCTGGATTTGATGGTGAAGTACAATTTATGCTCTTAACTGTAGGTGTTTAACACCCACTGAAGCAGAGACACGCGTGTGCGGCCGGCTGCCAGCTGGTTTGGGGTGGGTGTGAGCACCCAGTGCTTTGGGCCAAAATGCAGTAAAGCTCAGGTTGGGCGGTGGTGAGTACCCAGTGGAGCTGCTGTCCTGTGCCCGTTTGGCCCATATAAGTGCAGACAGTGCACCCAGTTGAACAAAACTGTGTTTTCTTTAAGAGCTGCTCTTGCCTGTGATCTGGAGGGCAGGAGTTTGCATTTTTGATATTGCTGTATTCTTTCCTCTTATGCAAGCTTTGGTATGTTTTATCTTTTTCTGCAATGGTGTTAGTTTTGGTACTAATGGAACTACTTTTTGCAACACTGTTTTATTTCTTGACTAAAGAAGAAACGGGCAAATTCACGAGGAAGAGCAAAGCAGTGGAAAAAGCCAAAGGCACCCACTAGTAAGGCACTCACTTATGAAGCTTTTCCATCTCTTTGTGCTGTCAAGTTGAAGAGGTCTGCTTTTTAGTAAACAAATTGTATAGGGATTTTTAAAACATTGGTGTTTATTATGTATTAGTGGTGTTGAGATGAAGAGGATACAGGGATTATCTGGTGGATAGAATTCTAGGCAGTTGCTTCAGAGTTAAAATTCTCAGAATTTGAGACTTTGCTCATTCTCAAGTGGCAGAAGATGAACTCTAAATGACTTGCTTCTATTTTAATTGGGTTTCCTTTTTTGAAAAATAATGGGCGGATATGATGAAGGAAAAAGGAGGAGGTAGAGTATATTACACCTATGGCTGCAATACAGTAGGTTGTATTATATGTCTACGGTAACGTTGTAATGGGTAGTAATATTTAGCTGTAAAAGCATAGATTATGTTGTACATAATATCAAGAAATCAGCTGATTAAAGGTGCATTTAATAAAGATATCTCAGTATGTGAAATTTTATAAAATGCAGATGCAATAGTTATAATAATATCGTGATGTTTTAGTATGGCTTTATAGAAAGTTTTTGTGTATATGAAGAAATAATCTTCATTATTATCAAAATAATCTCCTGCAAATACAGGAGCAGCGGGTTTGCGGCTTGTGCGTGTCCAGGAGCGTGGAGACAAGTTCGTGGGTACTTTGATGCTGCTCTTGGTGGAGCTCTGCAGTGAGACTCCCCTGTCCCTCCAACCTTATCACAAAAATGGCACAGCCAGCACATAGATAACTTTGGCTGTTTCTGCCCTCTGCAGATCCATCATCGAGGAGGACATGCATCAAAAATAAAACTCCTCTACAGAGAAATTATGTCAGTTTAGAAAAGGTCTTTATATGATAGAAGTTCTTATTTTGGAAGAAGAAATCTGTTGGCATTGCAGAGATCTGTTCCCTTTGGCAGAAGCCCCCTGAAATCAATAGATTCTTTTTCTTTTACGCACGGAATACTGAATAAGCCTTTTGATGATGGAGATTTACCTTTGTAGACTTTGCCCTAATGGCATCTTCACTTAATTTTCCTGATAAAGCCTTTATTGCAAATTCAGTAACCATTCTCATTTTTAACAAGCTTGCCAGCCTGTAAGTAATTTCAGAGAACGGATCTCTTAATGGGAATATATTCGCAAACTACGATCCAGCCACGATTTATCTTTCCTGTGTTAACTTTCTCTGAGTTAGGAGGGAATCTGCAGCCCAGGTTTGTAACTGCCAGTTCTGTGGGTGTCATGTTTCATGCGCCCCACAACAGAGTTTTGATTTTGAAGGGTCTAAACCACAATGGAAGTTTTAGATCCCACTGCCCATAAGACATATACCAAAGCATAAGCACCAAAGCAGGGAGTTTCATGCCAGCGTGGACACTACAGTTGATTTCCTATTCAGTCACTGAGCTGTTCTCTGTGGGGTCCTCTTGGCCATAAGGCATAGGTACAGAAGTGAGGGAAAGATTTTCCTTAATGAAGCTCTTGTGCTAAGGGTGCAGAGGAAAAATCTCATTGTTGTAAATGAATGAGTTTTGATAAAATGTTCTAAAAGGCTTCAGCCAGAGGCAGAACTATTAGAGAAAAATAGTTCAAATAAGTGAAGGTTTGTGAAATTGCTAGCAATTGAAACTGAGTTCCTATTATTAGAGATATTGAGCGTTCTTAAAATTCAGAGAGGTGCTATTGGTGCTGCATATAATACTGTTAGGCTTTTTCTAGCAACTAAGGAAAGTAGCCTTTAGACAAACATTTTGATTTCATAACTATATTCTGAGACTTGTGGTTTTGATGTTCCCACTTCCTGCAAGCCTACAATGCAGGAATTAGAGGGTTTGTAGAAGAACCATCTGGGGAACAGCAGGATAATTCTGGCAGTCTTCCTTGGGATTTTCTTTTCTTTCATAAAAATATGAGAATGAACCACTTCCCCCAAATCCTCCAAAGCCGTAGGAACAAAGACAAGCAGAGTTGGTCTGTCTTGCAGAGGACCTTTCAGCTTCTGCCAAAAATTGACAAGGAGGTTTGAATTCTTTCCTTCTGCAGCCATTGCCCACCTTCTTCCCCAACTCCATCCTCCCTCTGACGTCCCTGGAACAAATCAGTGCCTGGGTAACTCCTCGTGTGCTGGGCAGTGGAGAGTCCCTTCTTACAGGAACCTGTAGTACAGCAGCTCCTCAGGGTGTCCCTATGCAGATATTGGGGTTTTAAGTTGCTAAAATGTGATATCTAAAGGACAGGGGAATTTCCAATCGCTGCACAAGTGCGTGCCTGCACATTTGGATCTGCATACAGGAGGTGTGTTTTGGTAGGGAGATGTAGGAAGGACTAGAAGGACAGAGAGTGTTTCTTTAGACCCCTTGTGACTTCTTTATTTTAAGACCCCGGTGTAGTTCTTTCCCAGTGTAGTGGCATCTGTTATCGATGAACTATTCACTTTTTTGCCAGTATTTTTCTTCTTGTGCCCTTTATATCTGCTCTGCCACAAATCCTAATTCTTTTGATGTCATGCAGAAATGTATGACAACTTCACAAAAGTCTCTGCTTACTCTCAGTTTCAAACCCCAAAAAAGTGTTGATTGCACCTTCTCTGAGAATGCTGAGACTAGAACTGAGCAAACGTTCTTTCAGGAGCTACAGAGGGAATCTTTTCTGTCTCATCATTTTTTTTGTACAATTTCCAGCTGTATTTCGTACTGGTACTTTCAGCTTTCTGCACAGTTATGGTTTCCTACAAATATTTACATGCAAAAATGCTACTCTTAAACCATATTTCTCTTTTTTGCGCACAGTAGAAATGGACTGGTTTCACCATAGATGTATTTCAGAGGATTCCCCTCTGGAGTGTGCGGATTGAGGAGCAGGCAGTGTCACTGGGCAAGAACCGTGCTTTCTCCACACCACAGCCGTGCGCCGGTCGCAGGAGCACTTGTGATGTTCTACTGCCATCTTCTCTAAACCACTTCTGCTCCCCATGTTACCCTCCATCAGACCATGTGCTGTGCTACAAATGATACGTTTAGACTAAGGCAAAACCGTCTATCAGTTCAGCCAAGAGATGTGACGATGTGGTTTTTGCTTCTAAGAGGTTAACAGTTGCAAAAGATGCTTTTTAGTGCTTAGTAATTTGATGTTTCTTTTTAGTGCATTGGAAAATAAATCTTAAACATTTCTTCTGTTATCTAGCACTTCAAGCCTTTTCATAGCATTTGTAACATCTCTTTGCCAACACTCCATCTGTGATTTTAGCTTGCAGGAAACGCTTTGCAATTCCGTTATTAGCTTAGATGCAGAGAGCTGCTGTTTAAATATTAATTGTAACTTCCCTCATAAGTGCAGTGAAACCCACTGAGTAACTTGGGAAATTCAATAAATATCTAGGAGAGTGTGTTGTGGGCAGGACCCGCTCTTAGCCATAGCAAAGGTCTGACTTGAGTTAGCAGTGCAAAATAGATCATGTCCTGATGTTTCCTTTCCTCCTCTTCCCTCAGTTCCCTTCCTTGTACACACACAGCCAAAAGAAAGAATAAAGCATAATGTTAAACTGCAGGGATACTCCTTGCACAGTTAGTGTGCTTTCTGCTAAACTGAAGGGAGAGGAGCAGCACACGGTGCTTACAGGAGAAGATGGGAGATCCCTCATTTGTTTCAAATCGTAGCTACTGGACAAATGTGCTTCTAAAGTGCTTGTGTGTTGGTCTCTCAAGAACCACACCTCAGTAGAGGCTTTATCTTGTGGTTGAGCCCTTTTCCTCTGTATTCAGTCATGAGCCTCACCCTATTTCATTCTCAATTTCACAAAATGTACTTTACAATTAAAAAATACACGGGAAAATATCCTGCGTTTACCAACATTTCAGTGAAGTGTATTTGATAGAAGTGAGAAATAAAGTGGTTCACACCGTCTGACCGGCCTGTTTTCTATGGATCACCAGGGTATTGTAATTGGAGTACTCACATAATTGAAAGAAGATCAGCCCCATTAAAATTGTACGTTGTATTTTTCCCCTCTCTTCTTCTTCCAGATGGTTATTAATCTTTTATTGGTGAGATGGTTTGCCTACGGTGTAATCTGAGATTTTTTTCCTCATGTCATTTAAGTGAGTTACTTCTCTTTGTGGTTGCAGGTGGACTGAATTTTAATATGTTGAATTCTGTTAATTGCTTAGTATTTAGGTGTTTTTCGTGGTAGCTTGCAAACGTATAATAAATTTTTTAAAAATTTCAGTAATGCCCACATATTCCTTTTATTTTTCAGCATTCTGTGAAGAGGGGTGCAGATATGGTGGAACTTGTGTAGCCCCTAACAAATGTGTCTGCCCTTCTGGATTCACAGGAAGTCATTGTGAGAAAGGTAAAGCTTTACTGAAACACCTTCTTCTTTGGTAATGAGAAATGTGATACGCTAAATCAAGAAATAATTGCTTTTCATTCTTCCATGCTGCTTGATGTTTTCTCTTCATTGAAGATATGACTGTTCCATAGCTGCCTTTTCCTAACTGAAAGCTAGTCTTAAATTAAACGTGGAAAAATCGTAGACAGTCAGGGACGTATGTGCTTTTGCTTCCGGTGGACACTTTTAGTTAATTAGGGGGGAGGGCAAATGAAAAATATTTACTCCACCTGTTTCATGTGGTGTAAGTTCAAGGTTACCTGCTTTTTCTGAATGTTGTGCAAATTAGACCAGAATTTGGATACTTACATTTCACTTAAAGTTATTGAATTCTGAAGATTTGATTTGTTTCTAAGTTACTGAGGCCACCAAATTTTATAGAATAATGGCCTATTAAATACATCTTCCCTAGTGATGATTTGATCCTGCCTTTTCCCAGCTTTTCTTTGCATTTCAAGATATGCTTCTGAGAGCCTCACAGGCCCACCTTTCTGTTTGTTTCACAAAGATCTGGTTCTTTGTCTACGTTAAATGAGCAGGAAGGGATCTTACAGGACTCCACGTAGGATTCTTACTAGATTCTTTATACAGCAACTTTGGGACTTGAATTCATTTGGTATTTATTGAGATTGTGTTTCACTTAACCCAATGATAGAGTTTTTTGCATTGCGTGTTTGTTAATAAACCTTTTGCACTTTCCTTTACTGGTGGAAATGAAGTGGGTTGTTAATGCAGGTTGCATGATGCTAATACGGACGAGATTATAATTGATGAGGTTTTGTTAAGGAAGAAAAAAAAGAGAGACCCAAGAAGTAACTGTTAAAAACTGATAAGTTAAATCACTGGAACCACTTGTTACCCAGAGATTATTCAAGAATTTGTGTGTAACAGCGTCTGTTCAATACATGGCTGTTCTGCTGTCATACAAGTGATTTAAGCCCAATTGTCAACAAATCTGCTTTGAATAGCTTCTGAAAACTGCTAAAGCTTTTGTATGGATATACTGAAATCACTGCATACTGAAATCCCATAGTTTCTAGTTGTCAGCTCTGTTTCTAATTATTTGGGAATAAATGAGGATGTTAAAATTTTCACGTAGAAGAGATTCAAGCACTGCATTAGATTTTTTGCCTGTAGTCTTTGCGTTATTTGTTTTAAATAGAAATAAGCTCCCAAGCCTCCTGACATTCAGCAGTAAGTACTGGCAGTACGCATGGGGAAGTAATACAAGGAGTACCTGCCTTAGAGTCCCACCTGCTGTAGCTCCCCAGCCTCTAATCCTGCTGGTTACCCTCTCCCATGTATAGTTTGCCCATTCCTTTCCAGAATTTCTGTTATTCAGAGGAAACAGTGTTTTCAGAGGGTTGCAGGGTCACAGAGATGTGTCCTATGTATGTGAAAATAGGGTACTGCAAAACCAGTACCTGACAAGCTGCATCCCGGAGTCCTGAGGGAACTGGCTGGTGTAGTTGCCAAGCCACTCTCCATGAGATTTAAAGAGTCATGGCAGTCAGGAAGTCCCCAGTGACTCGAAAAAGGGAAGCATTGTACCCATTTTGAGAAAGGGTAGAAAGGAGGAGCCTGGGAACTACCAACCTGTCAACCTTTCCCCTATGACTGGGAAGATGATGGAGTAGATTCCCCTCTGAAGCTATGCTAAGGTTCGTGGCAGACAGGGAGGTGATTCGAGACAGATGGCATGGCTTCACCAAGGGCAAGGCCTGCCTGACCAAGTGGCCTTGTGGTGATGCAGTGACTGCATCAGTGGACAAGGGAAGAGCTATGGATGTCATCTGTTTGGACTTTGGTAAGGCCTTTGACACGGTCCCCCACCACATCATTCTCTCTAAACTGGGGAGGTGTGCATTTGATGTGTGGACTGTTTGATGGATGAGGAATTGCTTTCATCCAGAGGGTAGTGGTCAAGGACTCAATGTCCCAACAGAGATCAGTAAGAGGTGGTGTCCCTCAGGGGGTCTGTATTAGGACCAGTGCAATTTAATATCTTCATTAATGACGTAGTGGGATCAAGTGCATCCTCAGCAAGTTTGTGGATGACGCTAAGCTAAGTGGTGTGGTTGACACGCCTGAGGGACAGGATGCTACCCAGAGGGACCTGGACAGGCTGGAGAAGTGGGCCCATGTGAACCTCTTAAGGCTTAACAAGGACAAGTGCATGGTCCTGCCCTTGGGTCAGGGCAACCCAAGGGTAGAAAGGAGGAGCCTGGGAACTACCAACCTGTCAACCTTTCCCCTATGACTGGGAAGATGATGGAGTAGATTCCCCTCTGAAGCTATGCTAAGGTTCGTGGCAGACAGGGAGGTGATTCGAGACAGATGGCATGGCTTCACCAAGGGCAAGGCCTGCCTGACCAAGTGGCCTTGTGGTGATGCAGTGACTGCATCAGTGGACAAGGGAAGAGCTATGGATGTCATCTGTTTGGACTTTGGTAAGGCCTTTGACACGGTCCCCCACCACATCATTCTCTCTAAACTGGGGAGGTGTGCATTTGATGTGTGGACTGTTTGATGGATGAGGAATTGCTTTCATCCAGAGGGTAGTGGTCAAGGACTCAATGTCCCAACAGAGATCAGTAAGAGGTGGTGTCCCTCAGGGGGTCTGTATTAGGACCAGTGCAATTTAATATCTTCATTAATGACGTAGTGGGATCAAGTGCATCCTCAGCAAGTTTGTGGATGACGCTAAGCTAAGTGGTGTGGTTGACACGCCTGAGGGACAGGATGCTACCCAGAGGGACCTGGACAGGCTGGAGAAGTGGGCCCATGTGAACCTCTTAAGGCTTAACAAGGACAAGTGCATGGTCCTGCCCTTGGGTCAGGGCAACCCCTGGTATCAATGCAGGCTGGGGGATGAAGTGATTGAGAGCAGCCCTGCTGAGAAGGACTTGGGGGATACTGGTGGATGAAAAGCTGGACATGAGCCAACAGTGTGGGCTTACAGCCCAGGCGGCCAACCATATCCTGGGCTGCATCAAAAGAAGCATGGCAAGCAGACCAGATAGAAGGAAGAAATGTTTTATACTGAGGGTGCTGAGATGCTGGCACAGGTTGCCTGGAGAGGTGGTAGGTGCCATATCCCTGGAAACATTCAAGGTCAGGTTGGATGGGGACCTGAGCAACCTGATGTAGCTTAAGATGTAGCATGGCTACATCAGCTGATGGCAAAGGTAGTGGACTAGGTGACCTTTAAAGGATTCTGTGATTCTGTGACCATTCTAGGAGTCTGTGATTGCCTAAAGGTGCTCTGCTACTCAGGAGCCAGTGGCTTTAGGACAGCTTTCAGCTTGACTGCCTCTGTTTCACCTGTGAATCTTAAAACTTCTTTTTTTCTTATAGCCGTATAGGGACTTTCAGAACTAGAACACAGAGTCTTTAAACTGCTGAAGTGATGGTTTAAAATTGATAAATGGATGACATCACTATTGTTGACTCCTGTGTTTTTCATGTCTTTTGTATTGTTTTGGTCTAAAATATGAGTTAGCACAGCAAGTAAAGGAAACGTGGCAGGCATGGTACTCTCGTTGTATCAAGAAATTTAGAGGTAGGTGACAGAAGTGCTAGCTTCTGCATGTAAAATCTGGATGACTTCAACCAGGAGGAAATTTACTTTTTCTTTGGAGATGTAAAGGATTTACCAGTACGCCACAAGTCAAGCTAATGATGGTTACTTTGAGCAATCTGATGTGCAGGCTGGTTTGAAAATGATTAGGGCTTTGCACATGAGAAGTTGTCACATTTTTTGCGTTAGAGGGTTTGAAAACTTCAGCAGGTACAGCTTATGTTGTATGCATAGTTTAGTGGCTAAGTGCACATTGGATCTATATGAAAACAGCTTCAGCCATCTGGGGTGACATCTTGTTAGTGGTCGGTCACCACTGGTGTCCCCCAGGGCCCAGTTTTGGGGCCAGTCTTGTTTAATATCTTTATTGATGATCTAGGTAAGGGGATTGAGTGCACCCTCAGTAAGCTTGCAGGTGACACCAAACTAGGTGGGAGTGTTGATCTGTTTGAGGGAGGCTCTACAGAGGGGCCTGGACAGGCTGGATGGATGGGCCCAGGCCCATGGGATGAGGTTCCACAAGGCCTAGTGCCGGGCCCTGCCCTTGGGTCCCACCAACCCCCTGCAGCGCTCCAGGCTGGGGGCAGAGTGGCTGGAGCTGCCTGACAGAAAAGGCCCTGGGGGTGTTGGTGGCCTGTGGGCTAAACATGAGCCAGCAGTGTGCCCAGGTGGCCAAGAAGGCCACCAGCATCCTGGCCTGTGTCAGGAACAGCGTGGGGAGTAGGACTCGAGAGGTGATGGTCCCCCTCTGCTCAGGCACTGGTGAGGCCCCACCTCGAGGGCGGTGTCCAGTTTTAGGCCCCATCCCACGAAAGAGACAATTGAGGTGCTGGAGCGTGTCCAGAGGAGAGCTGCCAAGCTGGTGAGGGGTCTGGAGAACAAGTCACACGAGGAGAGGCTGAGGGAACTGGGCATGTTGAGTTTGGAGAAGAGGAGGCCGAGGGAAGACCTCATTGCCCTTTACAACTCCCTGACAGGAGGGTGTAGAGAGGTGGGGGTTGGCCTCTTCTCCCAAGGGAATGATGACAGGAGCAGAGGAAATGGTCTGAAGTTGGGGCAGGGGAGGTTTAGATGAGATACTGGGAAGAATTCCTTTCCTGAGAGGGTGGTCAGGCACTGGAACAGCCTGCCCAGGGAGGTGGTGGAGTCACCATCCCTGGAGGTATTTAAGAAAGGTGTAGACATGGCTCTTCAGGGCATGCTCTAGTGCCTGAGATTGTTTGTTTATTTGTGTCTGTTTGTGGGTTTTGTGGGGTTGTGGGTTTTTTTGTTTTGGTTTGGGTTTTCTGGGTTTTTTGTGTGGTTGGACTCGATGGTCTCTAAGGTCCCTTCCAACCATGAAGATTCTGTGTTTCTGTGAAGGTGCACGTCCTGGAAAAAG